TAGATTAGATACAGCAGTTTTAGATTAGTTACGCTTAACGCTAGATAGCTTATTATAACTAGTAATATACTTATAGACCTTATCTATAAGCTTATTTCGCCTATTAGTATACTTAGAAGTCTGCAAAAGATTAGTATAATGCTGCTATAATAAGATTAATAATTACTTATAGTTATAGTTACTATATTATCTATAGCATAGTTATATAAAGCTATTATCTTAGTTATAAAGAGATTAATGCTATAGTATAATTAGTATAAGAAGTAACTAAAATAAGATAAGAAATATACCTTAGAATGCACTGCTTAGAATTATAAGCAGTGCAATAATCTAACTTACTACTCTTATTAATATATTTAAGCTTATTCTTAGTTAAGTTACTTAACTACTTAAGAATATAATTAGCATAAAAGCTCTTATAGAATATACTACTAGAAAGCTTTAATAGAGTATCTAGAGCTAGATTGCTCTTCTTAGAAGCTAACTTCTACTAATTAATTTAAGCTAAGGCGCGCATACTTTTTAAATCTAATATCTTAAAGAACTAAGTAGCGTAAGCATTCTTAAGATTTTTCTTCTGCGCTAGAGTAGCTGTTTTTTTCTTTTACTGCAAAATAGCTAAGTTAGCATAACTAATAGCTTAGAGTTTAAGATAATTATAATATAGAGTACGCGCAAGGTACTTAAGCACCTCTTAATTAGTAAGACTTACTAGAGCTATAGTTAGCAGATTAAATTCTTAAAGCTAGATAGTAGAGTATTAAAAGATTATAAGGCATAGAGTAAGATATTAATATTGCGCGCGCTAAAGCTAAACGCGTAAGTTAACTAATCTCTATAATAACGTAATAATAAATAGACGCTTACTAATTAAGCGATTAAGGCAGAGTAAGAGCAGAGTAATAGCTTATTTATATATATACTGCATAATATTATCTTAATTAAATAAGGCAATTAAGATAGAAGGTGTGTTGCAGTATTAATATATAAGAATAGTAAAGTACTAATCTACGTAACTAAGCTAACTAAGCTTAGAAAAGTAAACTAACGTTTCTCTATAATCTATTTATATATTTAAGCTAGCTCTTCTAATACATTAGAAGAGCAGTAATTAATATAATCTTTTCTCTTAAGTTTGCTTAGCTATAATATAGAGCTATTATTAGATATAAACGTAAGCATAATACTGCGTTTTAAGGCATACTAAGAGGATAAAGCAGATAGTAGTCTAATACGCCTATTATAATAAAGAAGTTATATATACTAACCTTAGAAGTAATTAAGAGAGAATAACTTAAAGATTAGCAAATTACTATAATTAATGCTGCGTTTATATTAGCGTCTTTCTATATATTATTTAGCGTCTATCTACTTAAGCACTCGTTTATTCTTAACTTTAGCACTATATACTATATTATAAATAATTCTAACTATATATAAAATTTCTAGCTGCCTACGTATAGAGATTTTATCTAAGCAGGTAATATAAAGATATAGGTTAAAGAGTATAGTTCTACTAAACTAATTATAAGATATCTAACTAAAGAGAATAAACTAGCTCTGCATAATATAGCTATATATTCTAATATATATTATAACCTAGTCTTCTTCTAACTACTTAGATAGTAGAGAATCTAGTAGAAAAACTAATAAGACTCTACTATACTAAGAAAATAAGATAGCATAATTATTAGAAACCTTAATAAGATATATAGCTAATAGGTAATTAAATATAACTTACTTAATAAGGCCTTATACTATACGAATATAACTAATTTGCGAATAAAGTAATCTCTATAAAAG